TAGCACTTTTCATACAACACATGCAAAGTGCTTTACAAAATGACACTTCACAAGTTAAAAATACACAACAAGAAATTCCCCTCAGATTATTTGTCAACAGCAAATGATAACATTTTATCAGGTATATAGACACAAAGAGGTCTAATTTATGATAATAGAAATAAATAATGGTTTCTCTCTGACAGATAAGACATAAGACAACTGAGTCGATGCAACAATATAACATATAAAACCCCATAAAACAAGTGAACATAGGTACAACAGAAATACAAATAAAAAGATAATGGTAATAAAAATGCCATAATTCTAATAAAGGTTAAACGATTAAGAAATAAAATAAAAATAAAACGATCACTACGTATGCATTTAGCAAAGCTCCTCTGAGCACTGCGTTAATGCTCTGCAGTCCCTCCTCTATCGCTGAGTGGGGCTCATGACTCGGTCATCATCATGGCAGAGCTCAATGTGCGGAAACGGCACTAAGTGCTGCTGAAGAGCAACCACTTGCTTTCCACAAAGGGGAAAGACGGTGCTCTGGGACAGGCAGTTTAGTGACTAGCGTTGCATGACATATTCACAAAGGAAATATATGAAGGGTAGTAGAAAAGGTAACTGCATCAGTGTGTGTGTTGAGGTATGCCAGGCCTGAAAGCCTCAAGGTGAAGAATCTCTCGAGCAGAAGGCACAGTAGAGATGCAGAATTAGTCAGTGATTCTCAGGTTACTTGGTTCGTATGATGGCCAATGAAAGGTTTGTTTGGATGACTTTTGTCCCCTACAGCTCAAAATGACCATAGTGTATCAAGGCTCCCGAAAAACCTTTTCCCAACCGTTCCGAAAAATAATTTAAAAAAAGCCCTTGTGTGTGTTTTGGCTTATGTCCTGTACTGTAGTTGCAGAAACTATGGAACCTTAATAAATTGATCCACTTTCAATTTGACAGCTGTGGCCTTAATGCTTGACTGAACCTAAGGATTGTTTCCTTGATGTAAGTTTTTGATTTGTCACTTGAACTATAAAAGGCCAAATGCCAATCAAAATGTCAACATTCCAAAATCCCAATATTTTCAGTTTACAGTCATGCAAGTAAAAGCTGCAAGTAAAATCATCACATTTGTGAACCTGAAACCAGCAAATATGTACAATTGAATGAAAAACGGTTAAATAACAATTACAATATTTGTAAGGTTCACTAAACAACACCTGTGACATTATCTAGTTGATAATATAACCTGGATGAATTGGGTTTTGTTAAAAGGAGCGTTTCATTGTTTAAGATCATCATCATTGGACAGAGACAATCCTGGTGACCTTTTCAGTTTAGCTGTGAATAATGTAGTACAGTTCAGTATTACACAAAGATTGTTCCCATCACGTCCAACTAGCTGTTTGAGTTTATTAACTGTTTTTTATTTGATTTATTTTAGGGTTTTTTAATCTCTTATTTCAATTTAGAGCCTAAACCTGTTTCCTGTAATCAATAAGTTTGTTGAAAGAGACTAACTTAGTTTTGATACTTTCTTGAATGTTTAGCATAGTAGTAATTGATTGTTGGATAAAAAAAGGAATTTGGAGATTCCACCGTAGGTTTTGGGAACATTTGATCATATCTTGGATGTCATTTCACTCCCGGCTGAGGAGGCCAGATGCTCGACCACATTTCTGAAATGAGAGTGATGCGTTCAGTGTAAGGAACAAAAGGTGGATCAATAACCTGAGGAAACGATTTAAGAAGAGGAAACAAGGTGTTACAGAGAGAGGAATGTGGGTTGACTGATGCATTCACTGACCTTTACTCCATTTGGGACCTCATTTGTAAAAGGTATCTGGAGGCTGTCATGGTGTGTCGACCCTGTTTGGCTGCAGTGAACTCACCCAGCAGCGGTGACACACTGTGCTGCCAGCGCTGGAGTTACGACAGGAGACGGTGACATGGACTTGGATGATTTAAACAGAAAGCATCTTCACTGAGGGCATGCGCTGCACAGCCTTCTGTTTTACACGTTGTCCAAACATTTCCCGCACAGCCAGTCTGAGTGCCACCGCTCTGCTGTAAACACGAAGACGATGATTTAAGTTCAGACATGACGCTCAGGACCAGACTCATCCATCCGTCCATCCATTCATCGTCTGCGCTGCTTACTTCTGGGAATCTGTGCTGGAGAGGAGGCTCTCTGTGACGGCTGATTCATTCCAGACCATGTTTACTGTCAAAGCACTCCAGAATAATCATATTTTTTGCAAGCCTCCTCTACAAGTTTAGAACTCAATCCTTTAGGCTGTCTGCTTTCCTATATTAATATTTCTTTACTTACATTTTAAACAAAGGTCCTGTGGAACAACCTCCCTGAAAGAGATTCTTCATACCAACAAGAACCACTTTTACAGTTTGGCTTTTAATTTAATTTAGTTCAGTCTTATATTATTCAATCCGGTGTTTATTCTGTTTGTATTTAGTGTTTGTATTCATTACAAAGTGCTGCTCTCTCTGTCTGTAGATTAGAAGAGACAATTGGTTGTTTTTTATTTGTACTATTATTCTTTGACTTACCTTTATTTCACTTACAGTTGCTAAACTAAACATGCACTTTTGCCATGTGCCCGATAAGTGTTTGAACAAATCCATTTCTGTGTATCTGAAGACTTGATGGTGGTCTGGTAACATTAGAAAGAGACCTGCCGTAATGACATTATAGAACATTGTTTAATGATTTGTAACAAGGGCCACCTACAGCTTGAAAGGTGCAAACAGAAACCCTTAATTCAAACCCCCCTATAGCTAGTAAAAATCCATTTCAGTAAACCCACAGGACCCTTACAGTACGGCTTGTAAAACTGCTCTTTAAAGGGAGCATTAGAGGGCCATTCTGGTCAGTTTACATGTTCTTTACACGCATTTAGCTAATTGCTGAGCCTTCTGCTGAGGCAGTAGAGCAGCAGGAACAGTCTTATGTATTTATGTTTGCATGGCTTATCAGTGAGGGATAGGACAGGTAGGCTTTTAACTTTTGATAAGGAGAGTTCATAAAGGTTAACTCCTTTATTTAATACTATGCCTGCCAGCTGATTACAAAAAGTGATTCGAAGAATTCAGTTATAAAGAAAACTCAGTGTCAGCTTGGATTAGGTTTTTATTTTTATGTACAAATTCATAATCTTAGATCCACAGTCGAATCTCTTAAACGTTCCTGTGATCGAGCTTTTGCATGCTGGAGCCCTAAATGAAATGTACTGTGAAAAGCACTTTGTGTCTCGCTATACAAATAAAGTTTATGCATGCTGGCCATTAACTGCACAGCTGGCATGTTCGTAAAGAACGCTGCATGCTTTTGCCTGTTGTGTGTGTGTGTGTGTGTGTGTGTGTGTGTGTGTGTGTGTGTGTGTGTGTGTGTGTGTGTGTGTGTGTGTGTGTGTGTGTGTGTGTGTGTGTGTGTGTGTGTGTGTGGGGGGCCTTATTTCCCCTGGCTCTCTGCTCTACTCACCACAAAGGGAGCTGATCAATACTGATGCATGCACTCCTCCAGCTTTGGAAACACAGCCGAGAGCAAGGAATAGGTTTACTGTTTTTACCCTTAGGCATATATAAATAATGACTCAAGTGTCCGTGCAGGAAACGTGACTAACACACAGCATTCTCCACGCTAATAACCTTGGGCAACATTTAGCATTTTGTTGCACTGGGCTTCATTGTGTGAATTGAGAGACCTGGAATAAAAGCAGCAGAAGATAGTGCTTACATTTCTGTATTAGGAGCTAATATTAGCCAATGTTAGATATAGGCCTCTAGGATGGAAAGAACCACGCTGAAATATTGCATTGGCCTCAGATTGAGGTTTTACCCAAGAGTGATTTTCTTCTTTGAAGAAGAGCAAGCGAAGAGGAAATAAAGTGCTGCCTACAATGGGGAAGTACATGAATTTACAGTAATGGCAGTGCTGAGGTCAGTCTGTATAAGGTCCAACATGGTGCAGCCTGGAGGAGACTGGAGGTCCAGAGTATCGACCGGGTGCAGGGAGGCTTTCACAGAACTCACAATTTCTCAGTAACAACCAATACAGCAGAGCAGGAGTGTCCAAGCTAATTGACCATTTTGAATCGGCCCTCAGCAAATAAAAACACTATAATGCAGTATGGCCCTCAAATGAAACTTGTGCTTATCTTTGTCTTTTAAATATAGATGTAAACAGATATAATACAGTATTATTCATGTGTTAATAAGCCCACTTTTCAAATACATTCAGTCCATTAAAGCTGAAAACATTTTCTAACAAATTTAAGTTGATACAAAAAAAGCTCAATAACTTATTTTCATAACAAGCTTGAAATATACCCTTCCTATTTCCTCTTATGATAAGCAATTTGACGCCTCTGTTGTAAGGAATGAGCTACCAACAAAATAATTGAAACCCTAAGGAGAGCTGTGATGTACGCTGATTAATAAGCACAATTTACTTACATTTGATTCATTTCCGACTTATAAGTAAATGTATGAGCCAATATACATCACCTAGTGAGGGCCCAGCCCTTCGTATATTATTTTTCTGTATGTGGCCCTCGGTGAAAAAAGTTTGGACACCCCTGCAGTAGAGCAACATCTGATAAATGGTAAATGGACTGTACTTATATAGCGCTTTATCCAGTCTTTAAGACCCCTCAAAGCGCTTTACATACTACATGTCATTCACCCATTCACACCCATTCAAAGAGAGCAATGGACCTTACTCTAGGACCTAACATTCACACACATTCACACACCGTTGGCCATGCCATCGGGAGCAACTCAGGGTTAAGTATCTTGCCCAAGGATACATCGACATGTTGACTGCATGGGCTGGGATCGAACCCACAACCTTCTGGTTGAAAGACGACCACACTCCCTCACAGCCACAGTCGCCCTACACTGTGCCCTACATCCTGTACTGATTGGTCAGTACAGGATGTAAAGATATACGTAGTTTTCAGGATTAATAATGTAATTAGAAAAGACATCAGACACACAGATCTATCCAACATTGTTTATTCGAAGGTTCTTTTTTTGGACTTGATAGATGATGTGAGACTGGATTACAGTTTAAATGCTTTGATCCTCTCATCAACAATCAGAAATACGTTGAGTGGCACAGCACGGAAATTCAGAGATAACATTTTTCATCTTCTCAGTGGTCATGTGATCTGTAGTACTTGCATTGTGAGCACTAAGGGGCAAAATAATAGGTATGGAAGCTGACAATTGCAGATGAAAAGATGGTTGGGCTTCATTTAACAGTCACAATGCTCATAATTATTGTCGTTTTGGATATTCCCAAGTGAACTCCAGTTATTGAATTCGTGCTGGTGATCAATATGTTGACTTGTCATGTCACGCCTACCGAGCATTTATGGAAATATTTTAAGGCAACACTTGGAATCAGTTAACCTAAACATGTTTTAACTGCTAGACTTAAAGTAGGCTTTAAACTGAGTATCTACTAACATGTTATTCTTTAAGTGTTAAAGCCTAATATAGGGCTTCACTTTTTATATTGCAACAAATTAAACTTCAAATGCATTATGACAAACAGTCTAATCTAATTAAGCGTATCAGTTGAAAAACTAGCTATCATTAGTTCAGGCAGCAACAGTGCACATCAGTCAACAATAACAAAATGCTATTTGGATTAGTTGTCAATTAAATAAATACTACGTAGCGTACAAACACAGGCTTTTAGTTTATTTTACATGAAGTTATTCAAATTGTTGTTTTTGTAAACCTAAATACCTTCATTTAAATAAACATGAACTGATGCAGACATTTAGTAAGCAGTAATGTGGCACGTTGAATCACAGGGTAATTGTGGGTCAGATAGTATTTACTCACAAGGAAAGCTTATATTACTCTGAAGTTCATATCCTTCCAAACCATCTTTTCAACAACCTGAGTTAAAATTCTGACAAAGGGTTAATAAAGTGTTGCAACTCAGACAGGAACCACTTCGATCCACACCAACAGCAAGATGAAGCGTAGTAAAGCACAAGATCTGGACTGACATTTTTAACTGCACAATTAAAGTTGTTTGTACATAGCTCCCGTTCAGTCGCAATGTAGAAACATCGCGGGAATTATTTTCTTTTTTTAACCCGATTTCCACATTGGGGTTTTTAAATTATACATGTTGGGAGCACACCTGAAAATACACCTTATACGTTTAATACTTCCAAAAGCAAATCGCAGGGGCTAATATGGATTGCGCATTATTTTTATTTGCACCTTAAGTTCGCAATTAAATGCCCATAACGTTTTGAGTCCAATACACCCTTTTCTTGTGGAGGGAAAAGGAAGAAATCCTTTTTTATATAATACTTTATTGAACTTTTAGATGTGATTTCAAAGATGACATGTAGGGGAGCTCTATTCATTTATTTGTAATCACACAGCTGTCATTGCCTCCTGTTAAAGCATCCCAAAATAAATGAGTTCAAGCCTGGCTACAAACTCTTAGTGGAGAGTCTGGGAGTGTCTACCACCAAGTCTCTGAACCCACTAGTCATTTTACTTTAGCTGCGAGTGGTTATAAGCACTGATCACTGAGAATTGCACTGTTTTAGCAAGGCTCATGTACACAGATGCCAATGTGTGCTAAAGTGTGCATGTTAGCTAACTATGAACACATGCATATAGCACCAGAGCAACCCAAAAGCTACTTGTTTGGCTGCGCAGTTTGTTGATGCGATGCAAGCCACGCAATCCTTTCGTGAAATCCCCCAGTCGAAACATTTAAGTTGATTTTGCTCAAACTCTTTTAGCGATGTGAAATGGGAGGACCGTGGCCAAAAATAAAGGCCAAATAATTAAAGCAGATAAAAGGCTGAAGTGAGTCCAAGTTATCATCACCCAGTCGTGGTTCCTCTTCGTGCCGTTGCTGGTTGTTTTTGCACCTCTAGCAGTTGAAGTTGAGGTCACTTTTCTTAAGTGACAACCCTCGTTATGTACACACAGATAAAATGTCCCCCTTTTCCACAGACAAGTTCATATATCTTTTATAAAATAAATCTTATATTCCCAAGTATACAATAATAAAATGATGCACTCTGCAGAAAAAAAGGGGAACAGGAAACTCTATATATACATATATGTGACTATTTTGGCAGACAGGACAATTGTAAACAGCTCTTTACTCTCATTCGTGACGTTTACTTTTTTCCTTTACTTCTTTCGCTCCTTTTGTCCTTTTACATTCATATTTCCAAAAAATTGTGCTTTAAGAAATCTCTTCTAATAATCCAAGGGCTCTTTTCTTTTTTTATTTCCTCGAGTAACACCCTAGTCCATTGAGTAGAAGTCTCTGAACAGTAGGTCAAAGTCATGAATGGTCACGTAGCTGGTAGTTTATTCGCCTCCCCAGGAAATGTGATTCCGTGACAGCGAAATGAAGGGAAGGCAACGAACGCATGAATCAGGACTGAAGATGAAGACGTTTGTGAGTTTTATTCTGGGTAGACTTAAGACTTATGTCTGGCACTATGATCATCCTCAGCATTTCTCCAAGTGTCCCTTTCCACACGTTTGCTGGATGCTTTGGTATATATGATTTTTGCACTAAATGGCTAGGCAGCATCACGTTTCACACTCTTCCAGCTTTCAGTACAGCTCCCTCACATATTAAGACGTAGAAATAATCACAGTCATTTTTCAAAACCTGTCGAAACCTTCCGTGATCGGAACTTGGGAAGGATTTGTGTCCTGGGGTAGTTGTGGCATTTTATTGATGATTACAAGGCTGAGAAGTTACAGCTGTGCTTGTGATACAGGAATGTACACGATGGAATGTGGAAAACACACTGTTGAGCGATGACGCTGCAGAATGCTAACGGAGCGAGCAAGAGCTTTGGGTTTTGTGCTCAGGGGGCAGGAACAGTAGAAGTCTGTGAGCCAGGCAGAACAGGATTGTGGGTCTTCAGTTGTCCTCATCAGTGAGCTCCTCCTCCGCAGTGGCCTTCTCAGCAATGGCATCCATGCTGCGTCTGCCTCTGGACTCGGAGCCGGAGGAACCCCCCGCCGGAGCGCCTTTGCTCAGGTTACAGGTGAGCGCAGAGTAGTGGATCTGCCGCAGGTTCTCCTGGACTTCACTCTGGGCGTGCTTCAGGAGGTCTGCCTGACCCTGGGGGGATTACAGATCAAAGAGTTACAGCAGCTTTTAAAATGTTGTCCCTTAAAATGTTAATAGCTGCCCGTCCTGAGGATAAAAATGTCATAAAAGATTCCGTATTAAACGTTTTATTTTTATTGTGTTATTTTTAAGACATAATCCTCTCTTTTAAAGTATGTATGTATTAACACCTTATTCGAAATGTTGGCAAAAGTCTGAATTAAATGCCGTCACATTGACGTTCAGGTCATAGCAGAACAAGGTAAATACAGAGAGAGGTAATGCTCATCTTAAGCACTCTAAATCTGTCAATAAACTCCTTTTATGCTAAAATCTGTTATCAATAAACCATAAAACACCCTCAGTGAGCCTATTTTCTGAGGAGATTCTTCTCATTTTAGATCAGTCTATAATTTTTTTTCCTCAAAAACAAAGATAGAACTCTCACAACAATAATGGGATCAGCACTTTGCCTCAATATATTTACTTTTGATTTCTGCATAAATGAAATTCTGAATATCACGCAAAGTACTTAACCTGAAGCATCTAAGCAGAAACAAATACAGAAGAGTCCAATAGTCTTATCACCCTATATGCTTGTGCTCTGTTATTGGAAAAAAGGCAGCAGATGTTTGATCTGGAATTGATGTAACCTTATTATGGAATTCACAAGCAATTCATTTCTGAGTTTCAAACCAGGTGCCAAAGTGTTGTGGATATTCCTGTCACACCTGCATGAAGCCATAATGAGATTGACACAATGGACACCTCAATCTGAATCACAAGAAGCTAGGTGAATCCAGCAGTGTAGTGTAGCTCATACATGAAAATGGTCTATGAAATCTATTTGTATTGAGTTTAAAGCTTTGTTGGATAGCTGCCATTTTATAAGCTTCAAGACCTTCAGTCGATAACCTAATGTACTTTTAGTGTTCATGAAAAATCTGAAGTCTTTAAGTAGTACGCCTGCCAACAATAAGATCCATATAAGCAAAGCACCAGATTAAACATTGACAGAAAATGCAGCATGCACAAAGAATAACACGTACTTGCCTGACTCAACTCAATTGCCCGGGGACAAAGTATAAATTATAGCTGAGCTACTCGTGTGGTAATCTTAATTAACACGTGCAAATGCCATATATAAATATGCAGGAGGTCATTCATCAATAATTACCCCCTGTGTTGGCTGTGGAGGTTGAAACAATAGGCGTGGTGTTTCAGAGCGGCTTAGACTAGGGACTCACCAAACACCGGTCCAAAAAGAGAGGCATAATATTGCCTCCGGATATAAATAATTACATTATTCGTGAATTTTTTTTTTTTTATCAGTAGGTTTTTTGTATTGCACTAATGTTTATGGATGCCTTTGCGGAAGGAAAGCTGACCTAACATCATCTAGTTGGGTCCTCACCTCCTCTAATATTGAAGTTAAAAGCATCAATCTGGTGCACTTTGAAGGCAAAATGAAGAGATCTACGGATCTATGTGCTCTTTGCTTGATTCATGCCTTCCCAGTCCCTTATCACGTACAAGAGCATGGCGCCAGTTGTTGTAGCCAGTTGTGGTGAAGGCATCTGACTTACTTGAACCAAAATGTATACATGCATAGCAGAAGATGGCATCTTTTTTACAGGAATATTCCAGCCAATCTCTGTTTTGAAACCATGAGCTGCAAAATGAGCGCCTTACCCCACTGGGCGAGTTGGGTACTTTTTTAAATATACCTGGGCAGGCTCTGTTTTGCCGAGTTCCTCTGGCACTTGCGGGCCGCCGAGGGGTGGCGGTGTTTGGGGCAACAAAGACGGCTGCGGCTGCTCTGCCTCTGAGGCGGCGAC